CATGCAAATTGTAAGTACATGTAAACTGTGTGTTAGTATTCCTGCCTTTGGACTATGCTGTTAGAAAAGATTCACAGCGTTTCCCTGATTTGCAATTAAGATTGCTAAGCACATTAGTATTACAACATGGTTATACATTGTTTTTTTTAATTCTCTCTCACCATCTCTGTATAACTGCCTCATTATATAAAATGTACTGTTCTCTAAACTGATGAAGCAAATTTGAATTATGTGCCTGTGTGATAAAATTCAATGAAAATATTTTTTTAAAAACTGAAGTCCCGCAGTAAAACTTAGATAAAACTTAGATATTTGGACACACTACTCAATCTTCTTCAAAAGCCTTAAATCATGAAAATGCTACTTGTCTTTCCGATATATATTTAATCACATTCCCTAGTCAGTTCTCAGTTCAGCTTCTCTTTCCCTATCAACATTTTCATTTTCAAGGAATAAAGCATAGGCAGTAATAAACATTTTGTTATTTTCATTAAAGAGCGGTTAAATTATTAGTAAAAGTAAGCCTTTCAGCATTAAAAACTAGTCAAAACACTTTGGTAAGATTAGGATCACAAGGTTAAAGAATAGCATGAAATCATACAATTTTTTAGTGAAATCACAATATGGTTAGCTCAAAAGAGAAAGAATATATATAAACTCGATATTACTTTTCTTCAAGTGTCTACTGTTGAAGATGTAATAAAATCAGATTTCCTCTAGGGAGGGAAAAAATGGAATAAACATAATGCTGACATTTCTATAAATTCAGCCAGTAGACTCAAACATTGTTTAAGTATTAAAAATTCTAATCATTATTTTTAAAAGCACTCTTAATTAAAGTCACTTTGGCTGATTTTTCAGATTTGCTATATAAATAGACCATGTTTGTCTTTGCTTTGTAGATACAGTCTATAATTAGCCTCTGAGTTTATTTATAAAAACTAATTTGCTTGAGTATTATCAAGATAATAAATGAAATTATATTCTTTCATTACTTTTAAAATTGTTTAAATTAACCCAATTTTAGAGTTAGTGATTCAAGGACATTACCAATCATTTGCAAGCAATTATAATTGATAATTCAGGTACCTATTTCCTGTCATGAGGGGTGCCTGGAAGGTTGATAGAGTCATATAAACATTATCAATTTATTTTTCAAAATGTGTGAGGTTTGAGGGAGTTTTCTTTTGCATAAGTATTGCAGCTCAAATAGCTTACATTTCAAACAGCCTAAAACTTACACAGTTTGAAGTAAAAAGTCAGCTGATCACATAACAACCCTACTGCACACTCAAGCATTTTTAATAAAAGATTCTTTCAATAAGTCTAGAAATGTTCCAATGACACCAAGTTGGAAGCCAATTCAAAGTCAAATTAATATGCCAACAACAATCCCAAACCATGCAAATAATATGAATTAGTAATGAAGCTAAAATTATTAACGTGGTTTTATGATTTTTGAATTCTCTTTCTGCATTATTAAATCTTTATAGACATTTCCTCTTCTGATTTAATAAGACTATCTGACTCACAGAGTCATGTTATATCCCACAAATGAAAATATGGATGAGCCCACGCAAAAACACAATTCCCTGGGTTTGTTCTACGGTAATTTAAATTTGCTTTGACAGGGCTGAATCAATACAAATCGTCTATCTCCTATAAAAGAAAATCCAACATAGAAAAACAATCCCAAACGAGAAGACTGCCCAGCTATTAGTCTTAAAAATTTAAGAACTGATAGGAATTCGATATGGACCGTGTATATTTGCAGTTTGCAGCAGATCTGAGGTGGCATCCCTCCGGTTTGCTTTTCCTGGCCGTGGGAGAAGTGTCATGCACGTACTTGATAACTTGATAATTATGTCCTGAGAGTACTTAAACTGTTTTTTTAATGCTCCATGCTTTCCCATTTTCACTACTGATAGGAGTGTTTAGAAAACTCTCTTTCCACATTTTAAAATTGCCAAATGTAAATGTATTGTAGACACATAATAGCATGTGTCGACTTTCCCGACTGCATCCTCCCTCTTCCCATCTTCTTCCTCTCTCTTGGAGTGAAGCCCCACCTTGAATTTGCATTAACCATTCCCTTTTTTCCTTTACCCTTTTCCCATCAATGTGGATATTTCTAAATAACATAGTTTCAATTTTCCCAGTTTTGAAATTTAATTAAATGGAATAATACTATAGCATTCTTTTACGACTTGCTTCTTCTGCTCACTATTAAGTTTTTGACATCCATCCATGTGGATGTCAGTAGCTAAAGCCATTCATTTTCCCAACTGTATGGTATACCATGGTATAAATCTATCACAGTTCATCTATTCTATTAGATGGTTTTTTATTTCCAGTTTGAGGCACTTATCAAAGTATTGCTGTGAATACTCTTGTGACTTTCGCTACACCTGCACCTACTTCCCTGGGCAAACATCTAGGGAAGGGACTGTTGGGTGGTAGGAAAGGCACAAATTAAATTTTACTGGTGAATGCCAAGGACACTGTACCATTTACACTTCCACCAGCTGTATGTGATCTCTTGCTGCTCCAGAGCCTCACTAACAATGGCATGGTCAGAGTATTAAAGTTGGACCAAACTAGTAGGTGGGAAACCTGGAGTATGGCGCTATCAGATACTTTTAATGGTTAAATGTGTTGCAAAAAAAAATTCTCTAAGGGGCGCCTGGGTGGCTCAGTTGGTTAAGTGTCTGCCTTCAGCTCAGGTCATGATCCCAAGGTCCTGGGATCCAGCCCCCGCGTCGTCCGGCTCCTTGCTCCACGGGGAGTTTCTCCCTCTCCCTCTGCCCCTCCCCCCACTTGTGGGTCTCTCTCTCTCTCTCTCTAACAAATAAATAAAATCTTTAAAAAAAATTCTCCTAGTCTGTGGTTATCTTTTTGTTCTTTTTAGGTATTATTTGATAAACAGGAAGGTTTTAACTTTAGTGTAGTAAAATTTACACATATTTTCCTTTATGATTTGATGATTTTTGACTAGACTGGTTTACAAAAAAAAAAAGTGTTCCTTCCACTAAGTTAAAAGCTCCAAATTATAGATTTATAGTTTAATAGTATGGCCTTTCACATTTAACCCAGTTGGAATTACTTCATGTACAGACTCATGAAGTAGAGATCCAGTTTTAATACTTTTGTCCATGTGCATAACCAGCTGTCCCCAACCTTTCCTGGAACAGCCCAACCTTTTACCACTTATCAATGGCACCTTTGTCATTTAGCCACTCCCCCCTTTCTCTGAGGCACTACAGCATTATTAACATGTTTAGTTTTGAATTCCTATGATTTACCTTCATAGAATCCCTTAGGATTACTGTGTCTGAGAACTGATCGATGTCTTTTAATTGTTCCAGAAAAAAAAAAAATCCTTTTTATGCATTCCTTCTGTATCTACGTATGGAAGCCCAACTGAACATACATTTTCGCACTCTGTACTCCATACCTCCCACATATTTTATATTTTACATTATCTTATTCATATTTCCACATTTTTAACTCTCTGGACCTAATGATGTGTAATTTCTTCAGTTCTACCTTTTGGTGTACTTATTTTTCCTTCAGCTGTGTCTAATCTGCTTTTAAACTCATCCACTGACCATTTTCTTTCTGAAGTATTATGTTGCTGGATTAGGAGTTCTCTGGTTCTTTTTCAAATCTACTGTTCCTGCCTCACATTATTAAGCTTCTTTTTTTCTTTAATTATATCAAATATTGTCATTTTGATTCCATCTGAAAATTTTGATATCTGACAACACTTCACTGTTTATCTTATCTATTGTTCCCATTGGTTCCCACCCATAATACTTTGAATTCTTGTGTGAATGTGTGGGTTTGGGGGGTTTTTTTGGGGGGGGAAGGGGTTGTTTTGTTTTTAGTATTAGCCATTCATTCCCCAGAATACTTTACCTGTGGAAATTCTTTGAAGATGGGATTGAAGTTGACTTCCTCCAGAAAGAAGTAGTGTTTCCTAGTTTCCTGTTACCACTGCTCATGACAGAGCAATTAATTTAAATTCACCACTTAGATTTTGTCAGTTTACACACGTAATGCAACTGGCACATTTTTTCCCATTAGTTCAGTGATGTGCTCAATAGGTTTAAAAATGTTAAATAGTGTTAAATATATTTTTTTAAATTTTGACACAGCATTTTAATAATTTTAGTCAGAAGGGACACTCAGAATATCTAATTTTCATAACTCCACAATTAGGAATGTACCACATTTTGAGGCTTTCTTTTCTTTATATTTTTAACTCAGATTTGATGAGCTGTTATAAAAGGGCTGCCTTACATTCATGGTTCCTTCTCCAAATACACGATTTCTGGTTTATAAGAGTTCACAGTAATAATACTCCTGGGATCCACTGGGTCCTGGCAAGACTATAGGTAGGTGACCTCATCCATTCTTAGAGGTAGATCTTAGATTGTAGAGAGCCATCAGTACCAAAAAGAGTACAGTGTACCAGGAGCTAATTTTCTACCATTTTTAAATTTCCTCAGTTACTGGGCTCCAACCTTCAAGCTCTGCCACATTAAAAAAAAATAAAATGCAGAAGTAACCCTGAGTGCTGAGAGGCTTCATAAAGAACATCTGTACATTACCTGAAGGAAGCTGTTCAGATCCGCCATTTTCTTGTCTCTTCGTTTCATGCTTTTTTGGATTATCTCTGCAACTCCGATTCTCACTACCATCCTTGGCTGGTAGTGTTGAGTTGGTCACTGACAAGTTTTTCCTTTGTCTAACCCTTTAGCTCTTTCTTTTCTCCAAGGCGATGAGCCTTTCACATACATTTTCCCATTTTGGACATTATTCCATTTGTTCTTTTCTTGCATCTATGAGTTATCTCTAGTTAACCCTCATCCTTCTCGAGTAACCTACTTGTCTAAATGTGTAAGTTACATAAGTAGAACTCAGAATGGAATTTCTTGCCTCCCCCACCCGCAGTTAAAGGTATGCTACTACTCGAACCAAACTGCAGAGAAGGTTACCTGGATTGGTCTTCCATCAGGTGTCAGCACCTCTTCTGAAAGTTCCATCATCTTGAGTGCCATTAGAGCAATGGGCTTAGCATGGCAGAGGCTTTTCCTATGGAGTCCTGCAGCAACACAGTACGCATCACCTATTGTTTCCACCTGCAGCCATCAGACAAATCAAATGCAAACATACGATAATGAGCCAGAAGAGAAATGATGAGTTACGTGCAATCACAAATGTTGCTGAAAACATGTCAGCAAAACATCAATAAATTAAGCAATTAGACAACTGAGTGTAATCAGAGCAGAGTTTGCAGACAGCTAGTCAAATACTGACATCTCACTCTAGGGCTGTTCATCCACGTCATCACCATAGATGATCATTGAAATTGGGAACAACTGGAATATAGAACAATTATCCTCCACAAAAAAAGAATCGCCAGTATTTTGCCTGAACAATTTCCAAAGAATGACCTTTTACAAAGCCACCCTCTTGTTTCCTTCAAACTTCCAATATTGGTAATATTTAAGAGATGAGAAACTGATGTGCAGAAACCCATCCATAATCTTACAATTAAAGAGTTAACAGGGTGCCTGGGTGGCTCAGTTGGTTAAGCGACTGCCTTCGGCTCAGGTCATGATCCTGGAGTCCCGGGATCGAGTCCCACATGGGGCTCCCTGCTCAGCGGGGAGTCTGCTTCTCCCTCTGACCCTCTTCCCTCTCGTGCTCTCTGTCTCTCACTCTCCTTCTCTCAAATAAATAAATAAAATCTTTAAAAAAAAAAAAAGAGTTAACAGACACTGTCAGAGTCTTTTCAGACCCTATTCTAATTTTATTGTCAACATCCATTCCATTCTAAATAGCCACTGCTTTTGTTATAATATTTTAAGGATTTACCCCAGACTAAACTCCTCAAATTTCCAAAGCATATAGCATGGTATAAAAACTGGGCACAACTTATTTTCAGAGGAAAGTTCTCTAATTATCCAAAGAATATGGTGGTATACTTTGAATAATTTGCAAATGATATAACTAATAAGGGGTTAATATCCAAAAAATATAAAGAACTCATATAATTGAACACTAAAGAACACAAATAATCCAATTAAAAATGGGCAGAGGACCAGAAAAACCCTTTTCCAAAGAAAACATACAGATGGTCAACAGACCCATGAAAAGATGCTCAGCATCACAAATATTCAGGGAAATCCAAGTCAAAACCACAATGAGATATCACCTTACACCTGTCAGAATGGCCAAAATAAAAAAAGACAAGAAGTAACAAGTATTGGTGGGGATGTGGAGAAAGAGAAACCCTCATACACGGTTGGTGGAAATGTAAATTGGTATAGCCACTGTGGAAAACAGTATGGAGGTTCCTCAAAAAAATTAAAAATAGAAATACCATATGATCCAATAATTCCACTTTCGGGTTTTACTGAAGGAAAAGGAAAACACTAACTCGAGAAGACATATGCACCTGAAGGTTTATTGCAGAATTATTTATAGTTAGTCAAGACAGAGAAGGAACCTAAGTGTCCATCCATAGGTGAACAGATAAGGAAAACATGGGATATATACACCCCAGAATATTACACAGCCATAAAAAAGATGAGATTGTGCCATTTGAGACAACATGGATGGACCTAGAGGGTATTTATGCCAAGTGAAATAAGTCAGCCAGAGAAAGACAAATACCTTATGATTCCAGTCATAAGTGAAATCTTTTAAAAAAAATGAATAAGCAAACAAAAAGCAGCAGAACAATAAATACAGAGGACTGTTGGTTGCCAGAGGGGAGGGCAGGGGAGGTGGGTAAAATGAGTGAAGGGGAGTGGGAGATAGAAGCCTCCAGTCATGGAATGAGTAAGTCAAGGGAATTAAAACAGCATAAGGAAAACAGTCAAGGATACTGTAATAGCAATGTAATGGGACAGGTGGTAGCTGCATTGTGGTGAGCACAACATAATGTATAAACTTGTCAAATCACTAAGATGAACACCTGAAACTAATGTAACATTGTGTGTCAACTATACTGAAATTAAAACGTATATAGTGATAAAATCCTCGATGATTCTAAAATTCTAATTAGAGCAAAGTGATGAAATGTTTTATTAAATGTCCAAATCCAATATCACCTTTTCTGTGAAACCCTCCATGGTCCTTCCATTGGTTTTTAGCAGAAGTAACCATTTCTTCTGTTCTGTTTCAACAGCACTTTTCATACCTTTTTGCTACAGGCTTTCATCATAGGTTATAATCAAGATGTATCCCCAACTGTGATGTCAGCTCTTTAAGAATGGGACTATGTTTTTTTTTCATTTCTATATTCATAATGCTTATCATGGTTTCTAAAACATAGCTATTTAATAAACACCTACCAAATGAATAAATAAATCAACCATGTTTATCATGATTTTAATAAGTCATTCTAATTGTGTATTCATTTTCACCATTCATTTCATGAGCACCATGTACATGTGTGCAGAAAAAAATTGTCTCTGAATGACTAGAGATGCTATCATAAATATACCAAAACTTACAAAATATGCTATTAAAGATTTAATAACCATAATTAGATTTCATGCTGAATGCATTCTAACAATATAGTATTAAAAAGATGTACTGAATTAAATTCTGTGGGTGCTAATTTAGGGGATATGGTGAGAGCAGTTAATCTAGGAATGCCAAAAGGACCATTTGGTCACCAAAATCTTATAAGGAAATAGGCATCGAAAATTGTTCTGATATCCTCAGACCTATCATGAATTTCAACATTTTCACTTCAAGACCTGTTTTCTTGTGCCAGAAAAATGGAAATAAAATCATAGGGTAAGAAAAGAAAAATAATGCAATGTGAGTCAGCAAAGGTTTTACTCCAAAGGCTGAAATATACTTCCCCCAAGGAATTCCCACTGAGGAAGACATCCAGTAAATAATAAGTGTCTAAATTGTGTCAATTTGGGGCGCCTGGGTGGCTCAGTCGTTAAGCGTCTGTCTTCGGCTCAGGTCATGATCCCAGGGTCCTGGAATGGAGCCCCGCGTCAGGCTCCCTGCTCAGCGGGAAGCCTGCTTCTCCCTCTCCCACTGCCTGCCGCTCTGCCTACTTGTGCTCTCTCTGTGTCAAATAAATAAATAAAATCTTTTAAAAATGTGTCAATTTACTGTCTTCCCCCTAGAAACACAGTGATCTCTTCTAATCCTCATACTTATCTCATCCTTTTGTATTTCTATACACTTTGACTTTTTATGTTTTTATATAAATGCCAGGTAACATACAGTGTAATATTGTTTCAGGTGCACAATGTAGTGATTCAACACTTCCATACATCACCCGGGGCTCATCACGACAGGTGTACTCCTTTATCCCCATCACCTATTTCACCCATCTCCCCACCCCCCTCCCCTCTGGTGACCATCAATGTGTTCTCTGTAGCTAAGAGTCTGTTTCTTGGTTTGTCTCTCTTTCCCCTTAGCTCACTTGTTTTGTTTCTTAAACTCCACATATGAGTGAAATCATATGGTACTTGTCTTCCTCTGACTTCTTTTGGTGAAGCATTATATTCTTTAGCTCCATCCATGCCATTGCAAATGGCAAGATTTCATTCTTTTCCATAGCTGAGTAATATTCCATTGTGTATATATACCACATGCTGTGAGCTATGTGCTTTGAAACTAACTTCTGATTTTCAGATATCAGAATGTATAGGCAATTATTTGTATAAACAAACCTTTATGGCCCCTGTGAACATGCATGCTCCTGGAGCATGACCACTTCTTGAAATCCCTATCCCCCTCCCCCTCAGCAAATATCATCCTCATTATCATTTCAGCAAAAGTTTATTGAGTTCCATGAAATGTGTATTTCTAGAATTTGTACCATAAGAATACAGGTGAGTTATATGTTGCACTTTCTCTTTTAGCAGTATATGATGTAGAAGTATGGAGAAGATGGATCAATAGGTTACCAATGGATATGACACAGAAATCTAATGAAGTGCAAGATAAATGTGTACACAAAAGAATTCACATTAAAATCTATATGTGATCATGCAAGCTTTTATACTACTTAGTTCTCAAATATTTGAAGTCAGTTTAACTCTCAGAAACAATAGTATCAAGAACTAGGCAAGAAACAAACATCAAAAAATAATGGCCCACATCAAGATGTACAATTCTCATAATAAATACCCAACATATAGAAAAAATCTAAAAGATGGTTCCATCATGCTAGGCTAGATTATGTTGCAATCACAACCTAACTTCCAAATCTGCATGTATAACAAAGGCTTATTTTTGATTCATGCTATGAATTCATTGGATTAAGGGATTGGAGGACAGGGGAGAAACACGGTGCCATGTCTCTTCACTCTAGGAACAAGGCTAACAGAAGGTCCCCAACCGGGGCTGGTTGCCATGGCAGGGAAAGAGAGGTTCTGACAAACTCTGCACTAGTTCGTGCAGCTTTTTCCCAGGGGTGACATATAAAGCTTCTCAAGATTCATTCACCAAAGCAAGTCACATGGCCATACTTAATGTAAAGGAGATGGGAAAATTCAACCACCCTTGTGCCCAGACACGAGCCAGAAATATTTGATGAGTAGCACTAATAAGTACATGAATGAATAGGTAATAGCTTAAAATTTTTCAAACATCCAGATGTCGGTAAAGTGCAGGTAATGTATCTCTATGATATTTTCTCTCTCCTTACAGATATATTCAGCATCTTAACCTGAAAATCTTGACAAAAAAAATTACCACATTAGTAATACATCCTTCCACAAAAGTTCTATTCTTCTCTCCTCTCCCTTCATTTAATTCAGATCTGTGCAAGTTTAGCAGAATTAAGTATATGTGGAAATTTTAGTGGATTCCCTTCAAAAACATTAGTTGATTTTGCTTCACGGGGAGCAGAAAAAGTGAAAACATTAGATATCCATTACATTTGCTCCTGAGGTGGTTTCCTTGAGTTAAACCAGTTAAACAGGTGGACATTGTAAACATACTAAAAAGACAAAAACAAAAATCTGTCTGGAAAGTTGACTATGTTCTGAATTCCTTTACAATTGACTCAGTGTTTTTTAAATAAGATCTTAAACACAACAGACACCATCTAAAATAATGCATCTCAGTTATTTTTGATATCTCCAACCTGTTC